AAAGACAAAAGAATTGTCCATAAACACTGTACTCAATTTTCTCTCACAGGAGTGTGAGTTAGCAACTCTGAAACTACATTGTACAAATAAGTAATTGAATTAGATAGTGGGAGCTAGGTTCTTCACTGTTAGAGGAAGAGGTTAGCAATAATGAAGCAGGGAAGATTGGAATGAACCCTGTGAACTGGATTACAGTTGGAAATACCTATATGAACTCATATTTACATATATATACAGATAAAATCAGATAAAATTATAGATACATGAGTATACATGAGTCAATATACTTACATTTATTTCTTAGCTCTGTGCACTGAGAAGGCATAGAAGCAACTGACACCCCAGGAGCAATGAGAAAGCTAGAGTGCAGATCTTGGAATAGAAATACCATTTTTCAGTCAAAAAAACAATGGCTTCATTGTAAAATGACTGATTTTAGAGCTAGAGCAGGGAAAATACAAGATAAGCCTGGAGCATCTTGTTGTACCAACAAGTAAGGAAGTGCTGGGGAAGAAAAGGGGGAGGGGCATGCTATCAAAAGGACACAGGCGCCAACCTGAAAAAATTCCCAGTAATGGAGAGGGAACTTAATTACAACCTGAAGAATAAAATAAATATCCATAAATCTACACTGATATAAATAAATGATTAAAATAGAAATGAATTTGGGAGAAAAGACAAATATTCCTTACAGAAGAATTGAAGGAAATAGAAAGTCACCTTTAGAACACAACAATAATAACTGCTGTAGGCAAAATATGCTAATGAATGCTAATCAGTGGGCAAAACTTTAAGGAAATATAGGCTATGTTCATGGCCGCCAAGTATCTCTCTCTCAATATTTATTAATCACTGTGGTAGTTTTCACATATGTCCATAAATGTTTTTTATATGTTTTATTCCAGAGGTGGAACTCAGCTCTCTTGATTGTAGGCTGGACTTGGTGAGTCTCTTCTAATGAAAATAGTATGGAAATGGGAAAATGGTAACTTCACATTGGAGAAAAGTCACAGACATCACATTAACCAAGTGATCAAGGTTAACAGCAACAGTAATAGATCATGCTAATATCATGTACCCCATGAAATGATATGGTGAGAACACTTCACCTCCATGGTATTCTTTCCAAAAATTTATGACCCAGTCTAATCACATGAAAACATCAGACAAGCCTAAATTGAGGAACATTCTACAAAATTCCTGACTAGTACTCTTAAAAAGTGTCAAGGTCATGACAAAAAGGAAAGACAGAAAACTGTCATGGATTGGAAGAGACTAAGGAAGCAAGCAGTGTAAACACAACATGATCTCCTAGATTGGATCCTGGAACAGAAAATGAACATTAATGGAGAAGTGGTGAAATCCACATCAAGTCCTACTTTAGTTGATATTACTATAACAACATTAATTTTTTACTTTTGACAAATGCACCATGGTTAAATAAGATGCTAGCATTAGAAGAATCAGTGTGAGGCGTATATGAGAACTCTGTACTACCTTTGCAACTCTTCTGTAAGTCTACAATTATTGTAAAATAAGGAGTTTACTTTAAAAATGAGGAGGAAGAGAGAACATATTCTAGTTAAAGGAAACTGCCTGAGCAAAGCACAGAAATAAGATAACCTCTGGTGTGTGGTTGGAGAGCTGGTGGGAGGGAGGTGGGAGCAAAAAGAGATGAAGTTCTTTAAGCCAGCATATTCCAAAGCATAAATTTTCATGCAGGGAAAGGCAGGGTCCAGATCGTGTAGGCCCTTACACTCATATATAAGGTGACTATATAAAATAGCTTCTGAACTGGGACACTTTTGATGATGAAAGTGGGTGCTCTCTGCAGACAGGAGGCTGGGACTCTCCTAGTAAAACTGGACATATGATCACCTTATTTATCTGCCATAATAAGAGGCTCGGACTTGATTTTGAGTGCAATGTTTTCCATAATGTATATTCTGAAGGTACTTAACAGCCAGTAAGTATAAAAATGTTCCACGGTCAAATACATTCAGAAAATACTGGGTTGGTTTTTTTTTTTCCAGTTTGTTTGTTTTTTCACTGAACCACTTCTCAGAGCCTATAATTTACAAACACACACTGTGAATCTTCAAGGATGTTTCGTATCATGGTTTTCCAGACCTTTCTCCATAGACACCCTTCCCTAATTCCTTCCCTGCTTTTTCTAAGGAGTGCATTTTTTTTTTTTTAAGGAGTGCATTTGGGGGCGTGCTGCAACTGTGGGGATGGCATGAAGCCTGGAGTGACGTTTTCAGATTCGCACTTCAAATACTCAGTGGTGACTTAGAAGACAATAAAGTCGGCTAGAACCGGAGGTAGAAATGCCAATGAGGAGGCTGTTGAAGTGGGTCCAGACGCAGTGAGGGATAGAGAGTAGAGGGCACATATCAACACTACTGAGGAGGTAAAATTAGAAATGAACATTCAAATCATACTATAAATGTCCATGCAAGATTTCTGTGGGATGCCTATTTATTACCTCTGTGTTTAAAAATTAGAGGAACATCTGTTCTGTGCTTGACATATCACTAGGCACCTGTGTGGTCTTAGAAAGAAACCAAACAGGTTGCAGAGGGAGCTCGGAGGTGCTTCAAAATAATCACAACAAAACAACTCTTGTTTATTATACATCACTTTAACCCTCCGTCAGGTGCAACTGATCTCATAGATTCATGGCACACAAATTTTCAAATATCTAACAGTTAAGTATCATGACTCATCACTTCCGTATCTTTCCCCTCTACCGTAACCTATCTTCAGTCGTGTTTGTGACTTAGTACAGTAAAGACGTATTTCACAGCGGCATCTATAATCTCACAGATTCGTTATGCCTATTTGAGATATGTTTTATATTTTCTCAACAGATTTTTTTGTGTAGTACTATCCTTTCAGACATTCCAGAAAGAGATTGTAAGTATAGTTTTATTATTGAAACTTAGTAATTAGGTATTTTATTTTCTGATTAATCTGACAGATTTATTGCACCTGTTTAGGGTAACATTTTTCCTTTGTAGGTTTTACCTTCTAAAATGGCTCAACCTCAAAGATTTTATAATCCAGGTGACCTGCAAGATGCTGAGATATTGCTACAGATGTTGATGGAGTCTGATAATGATGAAAATAACTTGAATTTGAAGATGAAAGTGACACAGACGGTGAAGATCAAGTTGAAGAACAAGACCAAAATTCTGACACTGAGCAACAGGAAGTGATTAAGAAAGCAGTCACAAAGAAATAGATAAATACTTTATTGGGAAAGATAAAATAAGTCGCATTAATGCTCAAGTACTATACCTAGAGAATGGAAATGAAAGACGTTTATTTTTGAAACAGTTGAGTAGAGAATTGGTAGCCCAACATATGAACCAAAGAGCTGCAAAAAATAGGGGAATTCCTTCACTTCTCCAACAAAAATTGCAGAAGTTTACTACACCTGCTGTCAAGTTCAAGCAGAAGAACCTGAGGCCACCACTTTGTCAAACTAAAGGAAACAGTGTGCACCTACCATATGGAAACAAAAGACAAAGGTATTCCAAATACTTCTGTAAACTTTGCAAACAAGTTTTGTGCTTAGAACATGCGACAATGATTTGTGAACATAGTTTCAACTCGAAATTCGATGGCAATGAAGCTGAAGAGCAATCAGATTAGTTTTTGTTATTTTATTAAATTACAAATTTTGTTTTTGTTTTATGTTTTGAATTTCTGTTGATTTTTATGCTGAATTTATGTAATGAACATATTTGTTTTTACTTTGTGGCAAATTAAAATTTTCATTCTGAATAAATAATAAGCATGTTTACACATTATTTTACTTCATTTTCAATTTAAATAAATAAGTGTCATACACGCATCTAGTAGATGCATTGCATCCGAACTCTTAACTTGTGCACTGTGCCCGATGGAAGGTTAAGCTGACTTTTAATCTAGCATAGATTTAATAAAACATCTGTGGTTTTCCCATTTTATTTTAAATCAAAAACAAACTTTCAGAAGTCAACGTGTGCCTCTCATTTATCAATCAATTTCTTCTGCTTGGCCAGCACGCCCACCTCTTTGTATTGCTTCCTCTTTATGGAGGCAGAGTGTAAGTTGCTGCTTATTATCACACTTGCAATATAGTTTTCATCAATGAAGATGAGAAATAGAAAATATTTCTTGCTCCTATTTCTTTGTTACAAGTAGAAAAGTGAAAGCTAAACTGAAAGATTCTTATGTTTTTTATCCCTGGCTGACCTTACTTATGTATTATATGTATGTGTATGTGTAATACCAAACCACCTAAAATTTGCTCAGGTGGTACCAATTCAAAATACTGTTTTTGTTTGTTTGTTTTTCCCCACCTAAGTGCATCTGGACTTTCGATGTTCTGATGATCTTTTCAGAAAACAGTGTTGCCTTAATATAAGCAAGGACCAAGCGAATCTATTATCTCTTCTAATTAATTTGGTGAGGTATTTCTTTCACCTGAAGAAACTGATGCTTTTTATCTAACAATTACATTATGTTTGAATATTATTATATTAACACCCTTGAAGGATGCTTGGAATGATTTGTACATGCTGTGAAAACTTGTCTACTAAATGAATATACGGAGGTGACTCTTCACTTATTTTTCATTGTTCTTGCTAGGATTGTGTTTTTGTGCTCCCATTTTTTTTTTTTTTTTTTACTGGAGCTGTGAATGTGTTCTACTGCAAAGGGTTAGGAAACAAGACAGGCATGAGGCCAGCTGAAGACATGAATCTAGGGAGGCCGGCATCACCCAATAAAGAAGACAGCTGCCCTCCATCCTCTCCTCGTTTTTTGCACGCAAGTGAAGGCGTTCACTATCTGTACGTCAGGCCTCAAAAGACACCTCCCTTGCAATTTTGCTGATAACCCCCATTCCTTAGCTTAGAACTAGGGGGCGGGAGAGGACCGCTGTCACTCATCCCCCGGCCAATTGGAGGGAAGCGAGCCCCGCCTCCTTCCTGGGCTGTACTGCGGGCATGCGCAGTGGGCGTCCTAAAGCCAGCACCCATCAGCTGGTAATTGTATTTGGGGGTTCTGGGGCCTTTGAGTGCCCGTGGCCGAAGCAGGAGGAGGAAGCCGAGGAGGTTGGGGTAAGCGGACCCTGGGGGAGGGAGGGTGACCTACCGGGAGCCCCGGAGGCACAGTGTCCCGGCGGCTGCCGCGCCTCCTTGTTTGTACGGGTTGTCAGGTGGCCGCCGCCCTGCGCTTGGCTGCAGGCGCTCCGGAGGCGGAGGGCGGGTGCTCCCCGCGTCCCCTGGCCCGGCGCGAGTGAGCGGCGGGGTCAGGCGTCGCGGCTTGGTGGCCCGGCCAGTCCGGCCAGCCCGGCGCCTGCAGCCTGGCCGCCTCCCCCGGCCGCCACTCTCGGGCGCGGGGTGCCGCGGTCACTCAGGCGCACCTGCAGGCTGCGCGCCCCCGGGCGGGACCCGCTTTTGGAGCCCACTCCGGCCGGCTCAGGAATCCAGCTGCTGCCTCGAGCAGAAGACGGATTGACCTCTTCCTCTTTCTAACGCACGGATTTAGAAAACACGTTTTAAAGTTCTCTTCCCGGATATAGAGGAACTAAAAACCTACGGCTATAGTAAAGGAACCATATACGTTTATTCAGGGGCTCATTGTTGATTTTCTGTTTGGCTTGATAACGCTAACTTGATCTTCTCAGCACATGTCATTAATTGCTTTATATAAAGACCTTTAAAAATACAAAAAATATTTCGAGATACCAACCCCCTCTTGTTTTTTAGGTTGTTACTTTCTTTAAAATAAGAGAAAAAAAATAACATCGCTTTTCTAGTCAAATGCTATATTTTTTTTTCCCTCGAGTGTCTTGTATTTGCTTGGCTCTTACATACATAAGTTCATTTTTGTTTTATTCCGGTAAAATATATACATATATAAATGTATATATGTACATGTGTGTATATATGTGCATATATATGTGTGTATATATATATATATATATGAACTTGCACAGAATCTGAAAGAAAAGGAATGATTATGAAATACTGTTCTGTTTAGTAATGTTGGGGGTGCACGTTTCTTTGGGGGGGTGGCCTGAGCCTCACCAGGGCATACACTGATAGCAGGGTTAAACTGTGCTTTGTGATGTGGACAAACCTCTGCTTTACAGGCCACTTTGAGAAGTTTGTCTCAAACTCCTTGTGACTAGTTAAGAATTATGCTCTAGTTTCAAAGTTTCGGTAGAAGTTAATGTGATACCGTGTTAACTCATTAACGTCTGCATCATTTTTCTTCAGATGTTTTACTTCTGCTCCCCATAACAAAGTCAAACCTAGTTTTTGTTAGGTTACAAACTTGAGCCAAGTGCTGGTGGTTAAAAAATGTATAAAACACCTGAAGTAAGTCTGAGTAAAGTTTGCCGTGATTCCATTTAATTTGAAAATTTAGTGTATGGAAGGATGAAAAATAACCCTTGGCATTGTGAACTAAAATCAAATAATATAATGTTTTAACAGATGGAAGGGCTGAGATAAAGAACATGGTTAATCTAGTTGATCCAGAGAATACTCAGTTCCATAGAGTCATCACCCTTACAATTCATGGAAAATCTGCCATGCACCTGACACTGAATTCCACAGCATGACAAGGTTCTCTCTCTCATTTATATCCAGAAGTGGGGATAGATAATAAACAGTATACTAATTAGATAATTTTAAATGGTGATTAGCACTATGGTGCAGTAAGTTAGATCAACAGATTGTGGCCAGGGTGGTGACATCTCACTTCAGATCCGAGTGGTCACCGAAGGCTTCTCTAGCATGTGATAAGACCTTGCTGGGAAAAAATGAGCCAGTCACATGGAGGTCATGGGAAGAGGCTTGTAGGGATAGCAAATGGCACCAAAGACTGGCCTCAAGGAAGCAATACGCCTGGGACATTCAGGATCTGAAAGAGGCACTGGAATTCAGTGTCTTAGAAATGGTGATATTTACCCTCAATCTGGTTGTATGTTTTTAGGAAATAGGTACATTTATTCATTCATTCTACAAATATTGATTAAGCACCTATTGTATGACCAGGTACTGAGAATACAGCAGTCTACAATACAAAATAGACTGCCTGCCCCTCTTTAATTAGTTTATATAAAGGCTTTTAAAAACACATAAAATATTTCAAGATGCCTCCCCTGCTTGTTTTTTAGGTTAGTACTTTCTTTAAATTCAGACATAAGAAAAAAACAAACATACATTGCTTTTTCTGTCAAATGCTATATTTTGACAGAAATATATTTTTACATTTTGGGACATGAGGTGGAGGGAAGCCCAGTTCTTGAAGCTGGTGCTCATGGTTAAGAAAGTGAAACTGACTTTTTCTGGTACTTTGTGGATAGGTGTATTTGTGCATATGGATGGACGGCCCCTCTAAGAGAGTACATAAGTAAGAAAAAGAAACATTTCCTCAGTCACTGTGTTTGTGTTGGCTGTGTGCCAGTTTTTCTAGAGATCTAGTTGATAGAGGGAAAGGAAAAAAAAAGATGTCATTGAGCCAGGAGAAAATGGTCTCTACCCATACAGTAGAATATTATTTGGCAGTAAGAGGAAGGAAGTATTAATTCATGCTGCAATACGACTGGACCTTGAAGATATGCTAAGAGAAAGAAGCCAGTATACAAAAGAACATGTATTGCATAATTCCACTCATATGAAATGTGCAGAATAGGCAAACCTGTGAAGACATACAGTAGATTAGTGGTTGCCTACAGCTGGAAAGGTTGGAGAGCAAGGAGAAGTGATTGTTGATGGGTCTGGTCTTTATTGTTAGGGTAAGGAAATGTTCTAAATGTGATATGATAGTTGCACAACTTTCTTTCTGAATATTTTAAAACTCCATTGGATTGTAGACTTTAAAGTGGTGAATCGCATATTATGTGAATTATATCTCATTAAATCTCTGAAAAAAAAAAAGGTGCAGAATTTAGAAATCCAATTGGTGCTTTGTAGGATGCTTGGGATAGTGTTGGTCTCACTAAGTCCCCAGGTGAAGTCTTGTTCTCTCTGAGCTCCAGCATTTCAGGTAGCTGCAGGCCTAAGCCAAGGCTACCTGGAAGGAAGTTGATTCCTGCCACTCTACTGCAGTGGTTCTGCTGTCTGAGTTGAGATTTGATTTTATTCTTTTATGAAATTGGTTTTGGGTCTATCTTTAGGACTTGGTGAGGTCCAGAGGTCCCAGAATAGATAAATTGGACTTGTGGATTGATGAAGGAGAATGGAGAGCATCTAAAAGCACCCAGGAATTCCAGGGTGGCCAGGCACATTCCACAATGCACCAGAATTTCAGGCATGGAACCAGTGTCATTCTACCCATCTTAACAGTTCAACTGTTGTGCTTTCTGCCAGCACTGACCCTTAAAACAAAAACACCTACTTCCTTGTGGCCTCTTCTCCCCTACCAGAAATCTCCAGTGGTTTCTTATCGCAACTTATTCAAACCAAACCTAGCATCCAGGGCCTGCTCTCTCTGCTGTGACATTAGTTTCGTGTGGTAGCCAAGCATGAGTAGCTTTGGAACCAGAACCCTGGGATTGAATCCCACCTCCACCTGGTGGGTGGGTTGGGTTACCTTTCCAGTTACTTAATCTTTCTTAATAAGCCATTAAATTTGCTCATCATTAAAACAGTTTGTTGTTTTACTTTAAAGGGGAGATTTAAAAAAATTAACTAGACAATCAATGTGAAATGCTTTTCACTTCACAGATATGCAGTGAATGTTAGGCCATTTCTCTCTTCTTTCTGTGTTGTCTCTTACTTGTCCCAGCCCTGAATCAGCTGACCCAGGGTTGACCAGGAACTTCCCTTTCCTTCGGTAAATGACACCCTGTGGTTGCCCTGTCCATGTGTCCTGGATATATCCACCCCAGGCTTTATGTCTTTGCGTTTGATACCAGTCATACCCAGGTAACCAATTCTTATATTTTTGTTTCATAAATTTTTTTAGATAGGGGCAATAGTGATATTCCCTTTTCATAGCCCCTATCATTTTTACCTAGCACGTGACCTTTTATTGTATTGCTTTTGTTGTTTTTACATTAACTGTGTTCTTTCTCCTCAATGATAAACTCAATTTGGGAAGATACTTTATCTTTGTTGATTTATTTATTTGCTTACAGCTCCCAAGTGCTTCCTTTCATGGTGGGCAGGTAGCAGACTCTTAGCTGAGAGTTGGCTTACAAGTTCACCTCCTGCCACTTTGCAGTACTCAGTGCACACTCAGAGAAAAGGTGGGATAGGAATAGTTGAAATTCTTTGTTGTGCACGGTCCTATGCATAGGTCACCCCTTTTCATCCTTTTTTTGCAAACTTTGAATCGTGTGGGGTGGATTGAGGAAGAAAAGAGTTTCACCTTACTTCCTCCATATAGCAGTATCCCAGCTTAGCTTCCTTTCTCCAGATGCTTGCTTGTGGAAGTGGAGAGGAGCTCTCCCTGCTGGGTCAGGAAGGTGTACGTGTGATGAGCATTTTGCTGGACATTCCTTTTTTTCCCCTCACTTGTTGGCTTTGCTCTTTCAAATTTGACCTTCTTTCCCATTAAAATTAGAGCTGCATTAATCATATGTTCCTGAGCTGTTCCTATGTATGTTAAATTAGATACAGTAATGAAATTTCTGAGGATAGCCTGAAGTCTGTGTTCCTTTTCATAAATATTTAAATACCTTTTCTGTGCCAGGAATTGTTTTAAATGTTGGAGAAAGATAAACGGCATGTGGGGCCTGCTTTATAGCTGCTCGCAGTTTAAATATAAGCAATTAAAATTTCACACAGAAAAGGGACTTCATAACTCTTCCTCAGAGAGCTCAGTGACGTTCAAAGAGAATGTGCAATTTGAACCATATTTTGCTTAACATGTTTAACTTGGTTCTGTCCTTTAAAGTTTAGGTTTTTTTGATAGATAAAAGCATTTTACTCTTTGCTGTGCCCCTTCGATAGATGTCTACCCTGTTGGTTAATCAGATTTGTACTTATAATCTCTCAAATTGACTGTGCAAAATGTAAGCCAGTAACTTTAAAAATACAATTGCGTGACCTTTCTTTTCTTTTATGTTATGCAGGTGACGGCTTAGCAAACTGCACAGCCCACCAACATCTGATGAAATTAGTGTATAAGCAAGTCCACCATGTCTTACACTCCAGGAATAGTTGGTGACTCCACCCAGCTGGCCCAGCGAATCTCTTCCAATATCCAGAAGATCACACAATGTTGTGAGTTGAGTTTTATGTTGACGTCACTGTTTGGTTTCAGCTCTGAACTGAACTTGGTGGAGATTTATAAAAGGACAACTATGGGGAGAGAGGGGAGCATTTCTCTAAGAACAGATTTTAAAAGGCTCGAACTCTTTAGAAGGAGTATAAGAATTGATTACATTAGAAGAGATGACACTTAACTACATTTTTCTTTAGAGCATCAGGCACATAAGAGCACACAATTTCATTAATGAAATAAAGATTTTCAAAGGTTGATACTTAGGTTTGCTTTAAAGGTATCTGGTTCTGTTGTAGATGAGATCAGTGGGACTTGTTGACTTAATCTCATAGTTTTGAAACTGGAGAGCACGCTCAAAATTTTAAAGGATGTATGTTTATTAAAAATAAAATCAGGGAGCCGGCTGAGTGGCTTAATTGGTTAAGAGCTCGCTCAAGAGTGCGAGCTCTGAGCAACAACGGTTCGATGCCCGGCCCGAGCTGAGCTGCTGCTGAACTGCCAACAGGTGACAGGATGGCTCAGCTAAAAAAAAAAAAAAAAATCTGACTGGATATGGTTTAGATTAATTTTGTAAAGGGTAAATTATATGGCACGTTATTAAGGAGCAGGGAAGAACTAAGGAAGATGGTGTTTCTATTTCTTGAGGCAGTTATACAAGCTAACTATCTAGATTCTCCACAAATCACCCTTTGCTACAGCTGTCAAAGACAGAATGCTAGTAGACTGATCCAATGTGGCATTTTCTTAGAAATTAGTACTCCTTAGAATATACATAAAAATAAAAAAATATCACTGTAGCAGATTTGAGCCTACTGATTTTGTTTTATTTTGTTTTTTTTGTTGTTGTTCCTGAATCACACCTAGTCACATACCTGGATGGTTCTGGCACCTTGTGGTCAGCATTTTGGCCTTCTGAGCTTTACATGAACTCTTTTGGAGTGTTAGTATAGTTTTTTTTGTTTTTGTTTTGTTTTTTTTTTTAGTCTGCTTCTTCATGCCTCCTCGCTTTACCAAGATGCTAACACTGAGGAAGTAAGAAATGTTTTCAGATAACCAAACTGGGTTTCTTTAATCAACTTCCCCGACAGTTATTATCCTACGTCAGGGCTTGGCAAACTTTTGAGACGGAAGAGCCACCAGGGGTCAGCAAACTGTGGCTCTGAAGTAAAATTGAAAATGAAAATAAAACTATCATAGTTTCATTTATAAAATTTTTACAGGATATTATTCACATAATGGTGATTATGTAAAAATATTGGGTTGTCGGAAAAGTCATGATACATTTTTGCAACGAAAAACATACAAAAAAATTGTCATGACTTTTCCGACAACCCAATATATTTATGGCTCTGGAATAATTTTTAAATTGTTGCGAGGGACAGGATTGGCTCTTCCAGGGGTCAGCAAACTTTTGGGATGGAACGTACCTAAAGAGCCGCATGTGGCTCGTGAGCCACAGTTTGCTGACCCCTGCCCTACGTGAATGATTTAAACAAGATGTCAGTGTGTTTTGGGACAAAGGGAGTAAAATTAAATTACAGGTGGTTCTAAAAACGTGCCACTGTGCACAGTTGTGTAAAATAACCCTTATTCTTATTTAGGTTAATTCTTTTTGTTTTTCTTTGGCCGTTCTTAGCGGAGCAACGAAGTGAATAGAGTATAGGTATTATGTTTTCCCCAGCAGGGACTTGAGGAATAGTACATCAAGGTTTGTTCCAGCTTGTCCCAGGACATGAGCACTGGCTCCCCTCTGTGCTTCTGGCTTCATATCTCTTCTGATGAGAGCCCCAAAAGCCTTTTCTTTCTGTAGCTCCCTCACTGCTGGTTAGAAATAGTGCTGGTCTGCCTCAGCCTACCTGTGCGAAAAGTAAGAGCACTTATCATTTTAATTCACATGTGTGGGAAATCAGGACCTTTAAGTAAGAAAGGGGGCCAAGAGGCCTTCTGCCAAAGAATAGGGCAGGTATCCTCAAGCTACATGGTGTCAGGAGTTTGGGGAAGAGGGAGAAGTAACTAGTGTACTGAGATTAGAGAGGCAGCAAGCACTTAGTGGTGTGAAATATACATGGATTGGAGATTGTATGTGAGCTTAAACTGAAAGGAAGTAAATCAGGTTGTGCTCCCTGAGAAAGAGATCAGGTGATCCAGCCAGATGAGAAGTGATAAATTGAGTCAGAGTTGCATATTTGTGGCATAGTTGATAGTTCAGTATGGGACTACATTACAATTCAGGGCAGCCTTGGAGTACGTGGGAGAGTGGTGATAAGACCTACAACTATGCCTTGTGAAGACCTGTTAAGATGAGGAGTGTTCAACCATGAGAAGGTATAATCGCCGCCTTCAGATAGTTGAAGCACTGTCTTCTGTAAAACACAAGAAACATATTCTGCATGATCAGAAGGACCTCCACCACACTGAACAGAAGCTGTGGTAGTCAGACATCAGCTTGACAAGGAATAAAAACTTTCAAATAAGCCAGGTTCAGGGAGGGAGGTGCCTACCTCAGGCGGAGTGAATCCCTGTTATTAAGTGACCAGATAGTGGTGGTCAGATTCTTTAGGTCTGTTATTAAGAGTTTCAAGCACTGGAATAAGGCTTCAGACTTAGTGACTTTTAATTTTGACAGTCTGTTTCTTTTCATACCACAAATAATTTATTGAGCACCTACTACTTGCTAGTCACCATTCCAGACCCTGGGAATCCAGCAGTAAACAAGATCCATGTGGCTCTGTTCTCCTGTAGTTTGCAGTGTAATGAGAAACAGATGGCAAAAAGAATAAATAAATTAACAAACAACATAATTTCCTATGAAGAAAATAAAATAAGAGTGATGTGACAGCAAGAGACTAGGGGGAAGCTGCCTTCGCTTAGATGGTGCCCTGAATGAGGATGAGAAGAGGCTGGTAGTGAGAAGATACTGGGAAAGAGCGTTCAGATGGAGGCCACAGCTAATATGAAAAAAGCGGTCCAGAGGAGCTTGGTGTGTTCAGAAAATAGCAAAAACAATAACAAAACAGTATGGCTGAAACACAGCACTTAAGGCAAGAGTAGCCAGGAATGCAATCAGAATGCAGGCTGAGCAGGTCACCCAGAGCCTTGGAGGCCATGCAGGGAGTGTAGATTTCATTCTGTGAGGCAGGAGGAGACCTAATCAGATCTGCACTTTGAAAAGATTACTTTGGCTGCTGCTTAGAAAGTAGAATTTCAGGAAATAGAAGGGGGTTACATTGGCCATCACAGGGGTCTGATGAGAGCGATGGTGGCTTGCACCAGGGTAGTAGCAGTGAGGACAGAGAAATGAAGGGTGTTCTTTGGAAGCAGAGCCAGCAGGACTGCCTGATGAATGTGGATGGATTGAGAGAGAAAAGAGAGGAGTCCAGTGTGACTCCATGGTTTTTTCACTGAGGAACCAAGTGGGTGGTAGTGAGCATGTACTCAGATGGGAAGGACTACGGTCCAGGAGAAGTGGGGAGAGTTTCGTTTTGGCCAAGTAAATTTTGGGATGTTTTTTAAACATCTAAGTGAAGATGTCAAACATCTGTTTTAGATACATGAATTAGGAGATCAGCGTGTCATCAGAGTATAAATGGTATTTAAAACCATGGGTCTAAGATAATAACAAAGGAGTAAGTAGAGTTAAGAGAAGAGGGCTGGAGCATTAAAAGATGTAGAGATCAGAAAGGCAGGGAGAAAGCAGAATAAAGAATCAGAGAAGTGACCAGTGAAGTAACAAGGAGATCGGGATATGGTAGATTTCCAGAAATAAAAAAAAAGAAGTGTTTCAAGATTGAGTGAGGCATCGTCTATGTCTAATGTTGCTGAGAGACTAAGATAAAAGCAGAGTATTGGATCAGGCAAACTGGTGGCTTTGAAAAGTGCAGCCTCATATCATGTTCCAAGTGTAGATGGAGAAAAAGAGGAAGAAAGATCAACCCCTTTCATTTAAAGAGACTTCCCCAAATCCTATTTACATTATTGACCAGAATTTATATAGCCATATGGCTACACCTCGCTGTGGGGAAGGCTGGATTGCAATGTACTCACTAAAATTGGGGGTTGCTGCTTCATTTGAGAGAGAAGGGAAAAATCAATATTTAGTAGGCAGCTGGTAGATTTTACCATGGAAGCAGAAAGAGGGGCAAAGAAAGGGCTGCATTTTTCCACTACAGAAGGGAGATTCTAGTGAGTGTAATTGTAAAAGAAATGCCTTTGAATCAAGGCTAGAGGGGAAGGGAGGTGGACCTCTAGTGTCTGCTTCGCCTTTCATCCACTGTGCAGAGTCGTGTGGTGTAGACAGCATGGTGTGTGAAGACGGGAAGCTCCCGTCTGAATGGACTGCTTTTAAACAAAATAGCAGGCAGAGGCGTTGGATAGAGAATGGGAAGGAAGGCTGCTGGAAATTTATGGAAAGAAGAGAAAGTGATCACTTGTAGTGTTGACAAGGTTGAGTATTCATTTGAGATTCGAGGACGTGAATTGAGTGAAACCAGTCATCACTATGTATTTTTTCTAATTCTGAGATTTAGTGTCTACATGAAGGGAAGTTTAGATTTAGATAGAGTTAGTTACTGTTAAAAATTTAACCTGCTGTCCAGTGTGTGTCACTGATATGGGCTATGAAGAAATCACATGGAAGTGAAAGGCAGAAGTGTGAACTCTCAGTTCACTTTTCCCCCCGTCTGGTAATGCTAATAATACTGGATGTGATTGAGTTAAATGGTCCTTTGCGCCATATTTAGGTGCTCTCTTCACACCATATTTGCATCTTTGAATTTGTGTCTGTACAAATGACCTAGTTTTACCAAAAAAAAAAAAAAAAAAAAGAAACCAACCTAAAGGGAGGATGCTATAAGTAAGGTAATACCCTGTAGTTAGAAGATGTGCGTCTGTTCAACTAAAGCTCAAGTCTTCTGAGCACTGCAGTGGGCAAAGTTTATTTTCATATTAGTTTTGATATAGATCAATGAAAGCTTGCAAAATATTGAGTTGTGTGGTTTAG